GAGAGAGAGAGAGAGAGAGAGAGAGAGAGAAACGAATTAAAAGGGAAATTCCCCAAACCTAAGAGCAAAAACCAACAAAAAAGTTGATCAGTCTATGATGTTTATCAATAAAATTTATATTTCAATCACTCATTTTGACAGATCCTGGTTGATTTTATTCATAACAACAGTTCCACTCAAATAGTTTCATTAAAGCCATGCAATCAAATGTAAACTAAAATTAACTTTGTTATAGATTTAATTATTTTTTGTTAAATTTAATTTTAGTAAAACATAAAATAGTGTTTTAATCAGAATTTATTAAACTAAATAAACTAAATAAATAAACAGAATAATTAACAAAATACTTTCAAAATTATATCCAAAAATATTATTAAAAATAAACGAACTAAGACACTTGCATTTGTTCACTAATTGCACTAAAATTATCTTAAGGTAATTAAATGACTAAAAATTATTTGCTATCCAAATATATCAAGTAATCTAAGATCTATTTAGCAAACTGATTAATAGCTATTATTTTCTATTGACACTTGTAATGTCACATTACATGTTAAAACACAGTATAAAAATTTTAATGCTTTAAATTATGCAATTGTTTGTACTTTTATTAATCAAATTGTTCGCTAAAAGATTCATTTAAACATATCAATCATAAGTTGGGAAAATTTAGTGTCGTTGAAATGTTTGACAAAATTAACTGATTTCCAGTTAGTCTTCGGGTCATTAGGTGTCGACAACTTATCAAAGACCAGATCCCCGCGAGTGAACCGACCATTCAATTCAATGTTTGTCTTGTACTCCACTTTAGACTCGATATAGTCTTCAAATATCGGTGCCATCACTACAAGCATGTCATACATTGTCATACCTTTAGAGCCTAAACATAACAATTCAATTGAGAATTTGTGAAAAAAATGTAAGAATTATAATTATAATGAAAAACATTTCATACGGTCTTTCTGGCGATTAACTTCCATATCTGTTATCTGTTTCATAAAATTTGATTTCTTTGTATTCAATTTCAGTATTTCGTTATACATGTCCTGTAATTGCATAAACATTATAAATAACTATATTATAACATTTATAATAATTTATAACATTTATATGTATAATACCCAGGTCAGCACATGTTTATCGCAGGTGTCAATGGGTACGATAGTGATGGGACAGCTGGCGGTGGACAGCACTCTACTCACAGCCTCCACGTCCTGATCGATATTGAAATCCTTTCCCGGATAGAAATTACCGCCGACTCCAAGACTTCCGCCCAAAAACACGATTTGCTTCAAATTGTCAAAGAAGTTGTTGTCCAACATATATGCGAGAGCGATGTTAGTGAGTGGTCCCAAAGCAATCATGGTGATTTGTTTTGGGTGCTCTCTGGCCAGTCGTACCAATGCGTTGGCCGCGTGTTCCCGCTCTACGCGTACATCAATGGGAGCCAAGTATTGGGTAGCGTTTCCCAAACCATCCCTTCCGTAATAATCATCTAGCACAAAGTTGCCAACAAATGGTGTTTCCGCACCCCTGTATATCTTAATTCCCTATTCATTTATAATTATTTATAAATAGTTAATATTTGTTTTATAATTTTCATTTCCTAATAATTCACTTACAGATGAATCGGTGGCCCTAAGAGTGAGTCCAACATTTCTGACCACATCCTCAACATATGTATTACCGAATTGACAGGTGATGGCCATTATGTCAATCATATTGTGTTTTTGGCAATACGTGGCCAACATTATGGCCATCGCGTCGTCGACACCGCTATCCGTGTCTATGATTACCAACTCTTTAGATGTCTTTCTATTCCAACTCAACAGAGAGTTCGGGAATATAGGGAAACAGCATATACTCAGCGCTATCTGTGCGCATACAAGCGCCGTATATAATAGCATTTTCATTACTGGTATTGTTTAATATTTAACAATTGCTGTTAAACTTAACCAAATGTAGATTGGTGAATTGTGATTTTAAAAGCTAGCTGTTTATATACTCTTGAAATACTATTAATTCACCTGTTTGCAAATTAAACTGAATTATGTCTATAATTAATCTATTGATATTTATACAAAACACATTTTATAATAATTAATTATGATTATTGAACTATAGTTAGGAATTTTTGCTATTCAAGGAACTATTAGATTAGGAACAAGTTATAAGTTCAATCAAATTTATCATGTAATGATAAAAATAGGTGCAGGCATATTAATGATATATTATGTAAATCTATGTTATAGACTTTTACGTCATTTATAACTAAAAGAGACGGATGTTAATTAAATACCTTATTACTAACTAATACACCAAACATCTGTGTATTTAATTCAATAATATTCTGGACAATGTTAATTTTATGTAACCAATCCTATGGTTGAGTCCAAGCAATTTTATCAATATTGTTATTTATGAATAATTGATATTGCTCAATGTTAAACAAATGAGATTATTTTTAGCTTTCAATCAATCTTCCTTATTATTTTCAATAATTAAACTAAAATATTAAATAATGAATATATTTTTTGATAATAATGTAATTTACATAAATAACAAAACAAGGTTATGTTGTGTTTATTAAATACGTATTATAATTATAAATAATACAGTATTAAAACACATGCTTATAGTATTTTATAAATCGCAAATTAAAATGTAAAGACTAATTTTAAAAATACTATTTGATTAATTTAACCACTATAAAATATACATTTGTATTCTAGGAATTAACACATTCCATAGGAAAGGATATTGTGTAAGCGTTAGATTAATAATTAGTATTGATTAATTAATTTGTCTTTAAAAATAAATCAATTAATTGCAAAATTTATTGACACATAAAACAATGCTAGAATTACACCTACGTGTGCCAATAAAATTAGATTTGTACAAATCATTAAAAAATGACAAATTTGATAATTATTTAATAATAATTTTCACTTACAGTACATTGAGATTATGACTTTACAATATTTAACAATATCATATTATAATAAAAATAAGTTCAATTAAAAATGGTGAGGAATAAGTTATTCAAAATAACTTTAGAGTTGCTAATAATTACAAAAAAATTCAATTCATAATTCTATATGGTAATAATAATTTTTGATTTTATTGGTCAAATATATAATTAATTATTTCATGACATCAATTAAAAGTTGTGATATTTTAGTCTCATTAAAATGTTTAATATAATTAACTGATTTCCAATTTTTCTTTGTAATACCGGATTGCGATCTCTTGTCAAACACGAGTTCCCCTCGAGTTAACTCGCCTTTCAATTCAACGCTTGTCTTGTATTCAACTTTGGATTCAATATAGTCTTCATATATGGGCGCCATTACTGCCAACATATCAAACATTGTTATGCCTTTAGATCCCGGCTCTAAACATCATAAGTAAAACACAATAATTATTTTAATAAAACTGCAATATTTAATAATCAATACATACTTTCTTTATTTCGATTGACCTCCAAATCCGTTATCTGTTTCAAAAACTTTGATTTATTTGAATTCAATTTCAGGATTTGATCGTAAATATCCTAAAATTTAAATATTTATACGCATATTATAAAAATAAATATGTAAATGTAAACTACCCAGGTAAGAACGTGACTTTTGCAACACTCATTTGGGATTATAGTGACGGGACAACTGGCTTTGGACAGCATTTTACTGATGGCCTCAACGTCTGAGTTTATGTTAAAACTTTTCACGGGATCTGAATTGCCGTCGAAGTCAAGGGTTCCGCCCATAAAAACAATTTGCTTCAAATTGTCAAAGAAGTTGTTATCCAACATATATGCGAGCGCTATATTAGTGAGTGGTCCCAAAGCGATCAAGGTGATTTGTTTTGGGTGCTCTCTGGCCAGTCGTACCAATGCGTTGACCGCGTGTTCCCGCTCTACGCGTACATCAATGGGAGGCATGTATTGAGTGGCGTTTCCCAAACCATCCCTTCCATAGTAATCGTCTAAAACAAAGTTCCCAACGAGTGGTTCGTCCGCACCACTGTATATTTTGATTCCCTAGTAATGTATAATTGATCATGTTAATCATTTTAAAATATCACCGTTATATCACTTCAATTACTTTTGTATCGCTGGCTCTAAGAGTGAGTCCAACATTTCTGACCACATCCTCAACATATGTATTACCGAATTGACAAGTGATGGCCATTATGTCAATCATATTGTGTTTGTGGCAATACGTGGCCAACATTATGGCCAACGCGTCGTCGACACCGCTATCCGTGTCTATAATTACCAACTCTTTGGATGTCTTTTTATTCCAACCCAACAGAGAGTTAGGGAATAAAGGGAAAGAGCATACCGTCAGTGCTATCTGTGCGCATACCAGTGCCATATATACTAAGATCTTCATGATTGCCAAAGTATTACTTAACTAAGAATAAAATTAAGTGTCAAAAGTTGCTAGTTTATATACTCTCGGACAAATGCAAACTTACTAATTGTTAGCTGTTTGTCATATAAATTGAATTAATGTTTATAATGAACGCGGATTTTATGGTCATTCAGTTTGATTGATTAACGTGAATTACTATGAATTTTTCTATTTTATGTGCTTGGTGTGTTTGTTTAAACTGACATGTTCATTCTGTATATATTGTTCAGTGAATTGTACAAGTTTTAAATGTAATTAATATGCATTTATTAATAGTATATATTCAAAAATGGGTGCAAGTATAATTATTAATTGATTACATGTCATGCATTTCCTGATGTGTACAATTTTTCTAATTTTTTCATATGCAATTTTACAATTATTATAATTAAGCATAAGCTACGTAAGTTATTATAAGCCCTTTACCATATTTAAATCCCTTGTTGTAATGCATTTACATGTCCAAATGGACAAATTGTAATTAATTTTAAATTCATCTGTATTCATTTGATTATTTATATTATTAACAGCATATGTATTTAGCAATTATTTATAACACATAATTGCAAATTATTTCTAATGAAATCTAAAAATATTTATTTTGCCATTTAATCAATTAGTGATAATTCATTGGTATATTAATTTATTTAACAGAAACCGAGACAATTCGGTCCCATGGTAAGGCGGTCCCTCTGTATGAGCTGTACAAATGACTTTTAGTAGTGTACATGTAGTAATGTATGGGAGAGGGCGTTAGGGACCGCCTTACCATGGGACCGAATTGCCTCGGTTTTTGTAATATCTGTCTAAAAGGGGTCATCAAATGTAAGCGGGAAGGGGGAGCAGAACGATCTATAAACCACATTATTCATGAATGAATTGATTTACTTGTGTTATAAATGATAACTTATGATAATGAACAATTTATAAATTCACGGTTAAACTCATTTCATATATTCAACCAAAAGTTGCGAAAACAATTGTTGATCAAAATGTGTGATGAATAACACTTGTGTCCAATCGGTTCCAGCGGTCGGCCGCTTATCCAACACCAGCTCTCCTCTCGTGGTCTCGCCTTTCAATTCAACGGTTGTCTTGTATTCAGACTTTGATTATCAAAATGTGTGATGAATACAACTTGTGTCCAATCGGTTCCAGCGGTCGGCCGCTTATCCAACACCAGCTCTCCTCTCGTGGTCTCGCCTTTCAATTCAACGGTTGTCTTGTATTCAGACTTTGATTTAATATAACTCTCAAACGATACGGCAATCTAAAATGTAATAGTGTAATTAATTAATCTGTATTCATTTTGTTAATTTATATTATTTCCAGCATATGTATTTACTGTAACAATTATTTATAACATATAGTTGCAAATTATTTCTAATGAAATCTAAAAATATTCATTTCATGCTTTAATCAGTATAGACAAGATTTGGACGCGTTTTGTATGCATTTGTCACAACAAAGTAACTTTATATCTTAAAGTAATGTTTGAGTCAATGCTTTATTGAACACAAGTTTAACATTTCTAATAATTATAAATAGATTTTTATTTCTAGAAATTTCTCAAAAATATTTTTTAACATTTATTAATTTATTTGAAATAAAATATTTCTGTTTCCTATTCATTGTAAAGCCTTATTGTGAAAGACAAACACATGTTTTGAATGTATATCGATTTGATTGTTATAAGATTTGGTATTTTAGATATATAATAGTATTAAATATTGGTGTTTAGTTTTAAGTAGTGATTGCATTTATTTCTCGGTCAAACCGTTTTGATAGTTTTCAATTGAAACTCAATAGCTATATGTTTTAGGGATCAGTGATTTGTAGCTCACATTTTGGACATCAATTATGATTAAATTATTTTCGTTGAAATCACAACAAAACCAGACGGACGGACAGTCGGGACAAACCCCCAGAAAAGGCAATACCGCCGCAGAGCGTCGTCTCACTAAAGGTATGTCATATGAGATGTGCAGATACTGTCTGAGCGCTGTTATCACATCCACTTATCCCTATCTCTCTCCCCATTGGCAGACATTAATGAGTTAACGCTTCCCAAGAACTGTGCGATGATTGTCGACCCGGAGGGCGATCTGATGAACTTCAAGATTACCATCTGTCCCGACGAGGGCTACTATAAGGGCGGAAAGTTCTCGTTTAGTTTGAAAATACCGCAAAACTATCCGTACGGACCGCCAAAAGTGAAGTGCGAGACCCGTGTCTATCACCCGAACATTGATCTCGAGGGCAACGTTTGTCTCAACATTTTGCGCGAAGACTGGAAGCCGGTGCTGACCATCAACTCAATTGTCTATGGCTTACAGTATCTGTTTCTTGAGCCCAATCCGGAGGACCCCCTAAACGCAGAGGCGGCGGAAGCGCTGCAAACCAATAGACGTCTATTCGAGTCTATTGTGCGCAAAGCTATGGCCGGCGGACAGATTGCCAACACTTACTTCGACCGATGTTTGAGATGATAACAACAATACATTTATTTTATGTTTTTGTCAACAAAAAGTTAAACGATTTACCGATTATTTCATTGAATATTATTATATAAATTAATGGCTATACAAAGTATAGAAAAACGTTTAATTAAGTTTAATTGATATAAAACACAAATATATTAATAGATCTCATATATAAATGTAGAAATTCTGTTCAATTTGTTAATAATTAGCACCAGTAACAAATTAAAAATATAAAATTGCGATTATTTAATAAACTCGATAAAAAGTTGCATATATTTTGTTTCGTTAAAATGTTTAATATATAAAAAGGATTTCCAATGAGTCGTCGGAGGGTTTGGGACATTGAGTGACGACATCTTATCAAACACTAGTTCTCCTCGAGTTATCACTCCATTCAATTCAATGGTTGTCTTGTAATTCACTTTCGACACAATATAGTCTTCATATAACACCGCAATTACTGCCAGAATGTCATATATTACCAGACCTTTAGACCCGGGAACTGATGAAACATTAATATACATGGTAGATATTGATTAAATTTTATTTTATTCAATACATACGAGCTCTAACTTGTTTTACCTTCATATCTGTTATCAGTTTCATAAACTTCGATTTCTTTGAATGCAATTTCACTATTTGGTCGTAAATGGACTGCAATTGTTATGATTTACTTCATTTTGTTAATGCTTATTATGTATTCAATATACATGTATATAGTATTACCCAGGTAAGAATATTACTATTGCCACACTCAAGCGGGACAATAGTGACGGGACAGCTAGCGTTTGACATCAATTTACTACATGCCTCGGGATCTGAGGCCACATTAAACTCTAGGGCCGGACCAACATTGCCGTGAAAGTCAAGAGTTCCGCCCAAAAACGAGATTTGCTTCAAATTGTCAAAGAAGTTGTTGTCCAACATATATGCGAGCGCTATATTAGTGAGTGGTCCCAAAGCGATCAAGGTGATTTGCTTCGGGTGCTCTCTGGCCAGTCGTACCAACGCGTTGGCCGCCGTTTCCCGCCCTACGCGTACATTAATGGGTGCCATGTATTGAGTAGAATCGCCCAAACCATCAGTTCCGTCGTAATTTTGGGACACGTATTGACCGACAATAGGTCCGGCGGCGCCCCTGTATATTGGGATTCCCTTCAGTTTATAATATATTAGATTTTTATATTATTAAAATTTTGTTTTTAATTACATAATACTTGCCTCAGAATTG